TCAAATCTTATTGCTGAGTATCGTCATCTTACTGTACTTGATGAACAATTTCTTAATCAAACAAAGACATATGTACCATGTTTAACTGAATTAATGGTAATTTATAATGATTTGAGAATTATCACAAAGAACTTTACAAGAGAAGAAACACGACGTAATTGTGCAAATATAAAACGATTAGTTATGAGTCCCTCATTAGTACATTCACAGAATTTCTATGTTTATTTTCTTTCACTATTATAAATGTTTCATTGTTGTAATAAAATTATATTTAAATCTATATTCATTTGCTTAGAGAGAAAAAAAGAATTAGTAAATCACATGTATTTATCTAAAAAAAATTACATTTTATTTATTTTCTTTAATTTCTCCAAACTGAGCTCTAAAAAGAAAAAAGATTGTTTTTTTATTTAAATTAGATATTTTTACCTTTTTCTTTTATCAAAACCTTCAAAGATGCCTCGCGTTCACATTGTTTAATTACCATATTTTGTATTGTTTGATCTATTTTATTAAATTGTTCTTGATTAATTTTGTTGTTTTTGTAGTGCAACTCCAGTTTATGTTGCTTTTTGTTTATTCGTTTTTGATGGGTTTGTATTAAACGTGTTTGCCGTTTTAACTAAATAAAAAGTAAATTTTTTATAAAAGAAATGACAAAAGTGGTTCAAGTAAAGTTACTACGATAGACACTATTCAATACTTTCTCATCGACAATGAAATGAAGTCGAATGTGGTTCACATTTAAATTTCACGAGCTCCGTGTTAGTATATTTCTGTTTTAATATTAAAACTAAATTACCTCTACATCAGTGTTCTTAATTTTACCTCATGTTTCCTAAATTAAATTAAAAAGTTTTTCATATATTTATTCATATTATCTTACGTCTTCGTTAAAGAGTTGCTTCGCCATACTGACGTCGTGTAGAGGCAAATATTAATACTCTATTGCTAAAAAGATAAGCGTATTGATTGTGAGACGTATATATATATATTTTTTAAACTAATCCTTCAGGTTCTATTTATTTTAACTTATATGTCTTTACCTTTATCTTTCGGTAGAGTCTTTACAAACTCTTCCCTTTCACATTGTTTGATTATCATATTTTGTATAATTTGATCTGTTTTATGATGTTGTTCTTGATTAATTTTGTTGTTTTTGTAGTCCAACTCCAATTTATGTTGCTTTTTGTTTATTCGTTTTTGATGTGTATTTATTAAATCTTGTTGCCGTTTTAACTAAATAAAAAGTAAATTTTTTATAAACGAAATGACAAAAGTGGTCCAAGTAAAGTTACTACGATAGACACTATTTAGTGCTTTCTCATCGACAGCAAAATGAAGTTGAATGTGTTTCACATTTAGATCTCATGAGTTCTGTGTTAGTATTTTTTCTGTTTTAATATTAAAACTAAACTACCTCCTCCTGGATATTCTCAAGTTTAGCACGTGTTTCCTAAATTAAATTAAAAAGTTTCTCATATATATATATTGGTAATATCTTACTGTTTCATTAAAAATTTGCTTTGCTATACTGACGTCGTGTAGAAAAAAATGTAATTATAGTGTACTGCGAACAATTACAAGTAACGCTCGTCCGAGGACTCACTTGGCTCTTTCTCGTAGAAATCCATTTTCATCACATTTACTAAGAAAACAAATAAAAACCGTGAAAAATTGATTTTCGGTGTGTTTTTGGACTTTTGACCCTTCTTCACCCTCTCCCCTCCACATCATCACCCAATAGTCCTCAGATTCGAACTCTCCACATCCAAATACCTCTAGAAATGTCTTTTGTGAGAAATTGATTTTCGATGTCTTTTTGACCCTGCAGGCACACAAGCAAGCAGTCAGACAAACAATTTATGTTTACTGGATTCTTCTTTACGAGAAAGAGAATAACGATGCAATAGTTTTGCACGACTATATAAGTGATGTGCTTCTTATCGTTTTAGAGTATAAAGAAGCAATAGTTTCGCATGACTACGTAAGTGATGTGCTTCTTATCGTAACCCCTCCCCTATAATAGAAGCCCACCCCATATTAGAAGCCCCCTTTGAAAGGAGCAACATGAAAGATGTATTAGAAGCCCATGGGCTTGCAATAAGTCCGAGATTTAGAATTTTTTTCACAATTTATAAATTTTCTTCTGAATATTCATACATTCGAACATATGTTTGTAAAGTAAAGTCAAAACAATTGAATGTTGAAATTAGATATCAAACAAGCATCGATGTACATGACAGAACAATTCTTTGATCTTATTTAAGAACGACAAAATTAATAGATAACAATGAATCGGACACATCTTCATATGTTTCATAATGTAACTTTTTGAAAGAGAGAAATGTACAGAATGAACAGGCTGAATAGACATATTCATACAAAGTATATCCCACCGGCATTGTTCATATGTCATTCAATTAAAATATTTTTTCTTGAATTGTTTATCTATTAACTATGTATCAAATCGAAGAGCATCTAGCGCCATTACCAGGCGTTATTACCAACTCACTATTAGACGAATCCAGTTCCGACAATGATTCCAGCGTTGAGGTTACCTCTATTGTCGATGAAAATGAATATGAATTAATCAAATGGACTAATTATTTACAATTTAATTCAGACTTGGACGATGATAGCGATGATAATTATTCTTCGACTCAATCTGCATCACTCGTTAATTATTCGTCGTCAGAATCATCCAGTGATGATGAAAACTTATTACAATCATCTCATCAAGCTGCATCTTCTAATAACAACAGCACTGTCGATACTACGTCTTCGTCAACATCAACTACCATTAAAAAACGTAAGCGACGTCAATGGACCGTAAACGAAAAATTAAATGCGATCGTCTACTTCGAAAAGAACAACAACAAATCTCAAACAGCCAGTGATATCGGATGTGCTACAAAACAACTTCGTATGTGGATCAAGAACAAAGATGAATTAATAAAGTTGTCATCTCAAAAGAAAGGTGAGGAATCCATTTTTATTACATTTAAAAAGTAAAACAATTTCTAATTTTTTTTCTTTAGGTAAAAAACGCACGCGTCGCAATGGAGCTGGTGAAAGATTAACTTATGTGGACCTTGATTCTCGTTTACTTGTCTGGTATCGTCAAAAACGTACTGATCCTGGATCAACAACAACACCTGTTGCTGATATTCGTAAAGAAAAAGTGACATTTCGTTATCTTCAACGTCGTGGACGACAATTAAGCCAAGAATTAAATCACCCATGTCCATCATCAAAATGGTTTGGTCGTTTTCTCGTTCGCCATCGACTTTCTCTTCAACGTCCAAAACGACAACAAAAATTTCCACTCGCCGAAGTTCATCAAAAAGCTACTTCATTCTATAATTATCTACGACGAGCTAGTCGATGGGCTCCAAAACGTGGCCCAATGGGGGCCTTTACTCCTCGTGACGTATTCGATATGGACGAATCTCCACTTGCATTATTCGGCGATCAAGCAAAACGATCAATTAATGATATCAACACTTGTAATGAAGTAGAAGGATGTTTAAGTAATAAAGTGAGTACTTTTCTTTTTTTACAATACACAACAAATTTAACTTGTTCATTCGTCGTGAGTTTTTGTATACAACTTACAGAGAAGTTTTCGTAGATCTTTACAACGCTGACCTGACAGGCCTCAGACCTAGTTAAAGTTTGCGTTATCAGATCTACATATTCTTCTCCAAGAGCAACTAAATATAATCACAAGTCTTCGTTAAATTTCAGAAGCTAGCGATAGACACGTCATTTTTTTTAGAAAAGGTATATAAAAATTATTCTATTTGTTATTTTATTTTGTTTCTTCATTTAGAGATTTTGCACGGTTATTCTTACAGTCTCAGGCGAAGATCAACGTGTTGACCCTGTCCTGTGTTGTTATTCAAAGGAAAGGATCATATTTCGCCTAATGAACAAAAACAATATGCTAATGGTATTAAAGTGTTCTTCACTCCAGAAAGTGTTATTAATACTATAACAATGAACAAATATAATGAATGGTTTATTTCGAAAGTAAGACATTTCTAATTTGTTTTTAATAGAACTCTTCAAAATTATACGTATGATCCATCCGTAATTAATTGTGTATCATTAAATATTAATGACGACGATGATGAAGAACAAATTCAAAATGCAGCTACATTAGCTGCAGAACAACATAAAATTATATTAAATGAAAAAAATAAACAATTAAAATTTACTGACTTATGGAAAAAGTAATTAAAGTAAAATGGTTACTTTATAACTACCTTTTTTTTGTAATTTAAAAAAGTATTTAGTTGTGCTTATATTTATCTTAAGAAGATTTTGTGTAATTAATTTTGAACTTATTCTAAATAAAACTCGAGATAATTATAAGCAACAGACAGTTTAGAAGCCCAGGGGGCTTCTAATATGGGGGGGGGGGTTATTAGAGAATCAAGAAGCAACAGTTTCGCATGAATACATAAGTGATATGCGTCTTATTGCATTTTGAAGAAGAGAAAATAATCATAACTATAAATTGAGAATCGTTGGTTGTAGCCTTGGATTACTTGTCAGTTTATAGATTCTTCTATATAAGTGTATCTATTTATATAGAAATTTTTGAAGGAAGAGACATTGTTGAATTTACTTCTCACATATATTGTTAATAAAATACGGTAAAGGCTCACGATGTCAATTATATATATTACTCAACAAATAACAATTTATGGCGGCATACTGCTCGTCGCATTGGGCATTTTCGGTAATGGAATAAATATTTTGGTGTTTTCGAGCCGTACATATCGTAGAACTCCCACTGCATTTTATTTTATTGTGGAATCAATATTCAAAAGTATTTCCATAACGGTCAATCTTATACCTCGTATTGTTACTTTTTCGTATGGATTTGATTTAACTACTATATCAGTTGTATGGTGTAAATCACGACAGGCTATTCTTGGCATGTCCAATGCAGTACTTATCACCTGCGCATGTTTATCTACAATCGATCAATTTTTTGTTACATCTCCTAATGCATCAATACGGCATCTTAGTAAAATCCAACTAGCTCATCGAATTGTATTCATTGTTATCATGATTTACATTCTTCATTCCATTCCCATTTATTTATTCGTTCAAATTGCACCAATAAATTTGTGTCATCCTAGTAATTCGGTATTTGGGTTTTATTATACGTTGTTTATTATTGTGGTTAATTGTGCTATTCCAATATTGATAATGGTAGCATTTGGATATCTAACGTATCGTAACATTCATCGAACAGTGGCTCTTGCTGAGCAACATGCTGATCGGCAGTTAGTAAAAATGGTTATAATACAAGTAGTACTTGTTACTATTTGTTTTGCTCCTGTTGGTATTGTTGATGCATATATTATGATTACA